ACCTACATACATACACGCAAGTAGAGTGAGAGGGTCTGACAGCCCCCAGTCCAGTCTCCCCTTCACCTTCACAGTTGGACAGACCTTCACTGGTTCTATCCCCAGCAAACCTCTGAAAGCCCAGGACCAAGCAAGTGCGAAGCAAAACTGCAATTCTTGCAGAAAATGTGATATTTCATGAAGTTAATGAAAGTGACGTAGGAGAGGCTTTGTTCAGGCTCAAAGCAACTGCCTACTGAGAATCTTGAGGTAACAACTGGGTCAACAGAGGAAGAAAAGAAAAACTGACAGGGCCAGCCACTTCAAAGACTGTGATTTGAATAACAAAGCCTGCCGATCCCCCCTGAGGAAGGGAGGAAGCCTGGTGCATCTCCAAATGTATCCCCAAAAAATTTAAGCCAAAAAAAAAAAAAAAAGAAGGAGGAGGGGAAGAGGTGGGTTTGATCCATTCATTCTCTAAGAATTGACAAACAGGTAAACTCATTTGTAAACAGTACAATGTGTTCTTAATCTTATTTCAAGGTGCCTTCCTATCAAATTTGAACTTCACTTTTTAATCACCTCTTGGATGTCACTTGAACTGGTGTGTGTGTGTGTGTGTGTGTGTGTGTGTGTGTGTGTGCTTGCATAAAGTAATACACAAGACGTACATTCATTCAACAATTTCTGCATGTACAGTCTAATGACACAGCGTACGCTGTGTTACATCTTCTGTTTGTATCACCGGCCTTGCTGGCTCTACCATATTACTTTACCACTGTTAACTTAGATTCTAGCTTCTAAACTTCCCTGTGCTTTAGAGGTACCATTGGCAACTCAAGGAGCCCTGGCAATTCAGTGGTCAAGCCCTCAGATGCTAACCAAAAGGTCAGTCCTTTAAACCCACCAGCCACTCTAAGGGGAAAAAAAAATACTATGGTAGTCTGCATCTGTAAGGATGTGTAATCTTGGAAATCCTATAGCACTGTTCGACTCTGGCCTACGGTGGGATCTGGCGGCCTAATGGAAAGGAGCTGCACTGTCAGCCCAAAGGCACGCTGTTCGAATCCACCAGTTGCTCTGCAGGAGAAGGATGGGCAATCCCCTGCTGCGTGATTGGCTGCCTCTGAAAACCTGTTGGAGGGCCAGCTATGCATCAGCTCTGACTTGATAACACATAACAGCAGCCCTGGATTAGAACTGACTCCACAGCAGCGAGTTTTGGGAACTGTCCATTTGATTCTGATCTACAGTAACTGGGACCACAGGAGACTGAGGCCTTTTAATTAGCAGCACAACACAACAGACCACACTGCCACCAAAGAGCCTTTAGTTTTGTTTTCTTAAGGGATGGAGGAAGGAGCTCTGGTGTCATCGTGTGTGAGGCTGCTAACAGGAAAGTCAACAGTTCGAATCCACCATTAGCTCTGGAAGGAAAATGGGTGGGCTCTTCCCATAAATATTTACAATTAATTGAATTAACTGGACGCCCAATGGAGGGTCTTTGTGAGTTGGAATTGACTTGATGTCAGTGTGTTTGATTTTTATTTTGAAGCTGCAGGGGTTAATAGAGATCGTGACCGCAGGAGCAGTGATTTTGTAAATGATTACCCAGTTGGGAGGGACAGGAGAGTATTATGCTGAGTGAACTAACTCAGTCCTAAAGGACAAATACTGGATAAAACCATTATTGTAGAATAAGTATGGGGACCCAAAGGAAGGAGGGGAGGAGCAGAGGGGTGAGGATGGGCAGGACGTGGGGTGGGGTGGAGGGTGGTTAATCATGATGTCACACAAATGGATGGGTGCAGGGGGTTGAAGGAAATGGGACAGATCTGGTGTGGAAAACAACATATAAGAACTTTGTTAATGAGCCAGTATTTTTTTTTTTTAAGACTATAGTCTGAATCCAATGGACTGCCAAGAAAACAAATAGGTCTGTCTTGGAGCGGGTGAAACCAAGTCTCTCCTTGGAGGCTAAAATTCTGAAGCTCTGCCTCACTTACTTTGAGCACGTGGCCAGGAGAGATCGGTCCTTGGAGAAGGACATAATGCTCAGAAGAGTCGACAGACAACACAGGAGAGGGAGACCCTGGATGAGATGGATTGATACAGTAACTCAGGTGATGGGGGTTGGTGTGACAAAATAGTGAGACCGGCTCAGGACAGGGAAGGGTTCAGAGCTGCTGTACATAGGGTCACTATGCATCGCAGGCGACTCCACCAATAACATTCTATGACAGGTTTGGAAGCAGGAGTGACATCCACTTCCTAAACAACTTGCCTCCGGAAACTCTATGAACTTTGATAATTGATAGTTGTAGAGGGGCTTCAGGCCTTTTGTTCATAGGGTTGCTATGAGTAGTGCTCGACTCGAAGGCAATCAACAACAACAACATGGCCTGAATCAGGCACACTTCCATGGTTAAACACATCATTGCTCTTCAGTAATTTGTAGAGGTCTCTGACTGCAGACTTTTCCAATGCAATGCATCTCCCAGTCTCCTGGTTGCTGGTTTCAAGTGTGTTGACTGTGGATCCAACCAAGTCTGATTAAATCATCGGCAACTTTAATCCTTTCTCCATCTATCATGATGTTGCCTATTGGTTCAGAGGTGAGCATTTTTGCTTTCTTGATGTTGAGATGCAATCTACGTT